GCGTAAATTGTTCATATTGTGCATTTTTTATAGTAAGAATTTTCTATTAAAATTTATTTATTTATTTATTTTATTTATTTGTTTTTTAATAGGTGCTATTCTTGCTTTAAAAGAAGGATTATAAGATCGTTATAAGGTTTATTATTAAAATTTTCTTGTTCATCATCAAGTTAAATCATTATATTATATCCTTTTCTGACTATGAATTCCTCGTCCAACTTTAGCTATACAGAAACTTTTATTTGTAATTATATAGCGCCAAAATCAATAAGAACGGAAAAAAAGATCGGAAGATAATGATAGATCAGAAAGATTATTATAGAAGGACAGGACTAGGTATAAAAATCCTAAAGTTAAAATAAAAAAGAAATCACAAAAAAACCTCTTTGGTAAGAATTAAATTTTACATGCTATATTTTTTCAGCATTTATTATTGAAGATAGGAATCGGGTTTATCATCTTTTTTTTTAGGTATTGTCGTTACAAGATTTTAAGGAAACTCAATGATTAGATTTAAAATTTTAAATCATCTAAGAAAGGAGCAATTATTTAAGGCCGCACAACAGGCCTTTTTAATTTTATTACTTGGTTAAACCATGGATAAAAGGAAGTAATGTTAAAGTTTAATATTATTTAAAATTTAATTAGATGGATTTGGGAATAAGAAAATACAGGACATTTGCACACCAAGTTGGATTAATTTTTAGATGGAACCATATTATACGATTAGATCAAATATTATTTCTCGTATGATAAGATCATTACTAAGCTTTAAATGTTGTTTTATTTGTTTATTAATGTTATACATTGGCTTTTTTAAAATTATACTTTATTAATTATAATGAATGGATATTACGTAATAAATGGCATAGCCATAACATGGCGTAACAGACAAATCTTTTAATTTATTTTTACTATGTTGAAACAAAAAAAGAGATTAATAGAAAGATAGCTTGAATTTAGTGAATTAGTGTCAGATAAAATAGATAAAATGGAAGACATTGTTAGAGAATAAAAAGATGAAATAAATCTAAATCACCTTTATTTATTTTTAAGAATCGCTTGTTTTTTGTGCTGTACCTAAATTAAAATTGCTAGAAATAGTTTAGTGATGTGATCATAATTCCGTTTGGCATTAATATAATTGGCCAGAGTTTTGTTCTATATGATTAAACAAAACGGGATATAGTACAGCGATTAGCGTTATTGTTAGTTTATCACTTATGTATCTGATCGACTAACAAATAAACAAATAATCGCACCAATTTGTGGTGGCTAAATTAACAGTTGATGCGTCAATGTACTACTATTTATGGCTATTGTTGTTTATTGTTTTTGAACCCGTCTTTGATTATCTTGAACTTTCTTTTATTCGCCAATATACGTCCTGCAGCCTCAATGATTTATTTCTTTCAAGTTAATATCAGAATTTCCATTACTACCTCTATATTTACAAATTGAGAGATAAAAAACTTCACACGAGCTCATTTACTACAATATAATTGAATTTCCCTTAGACGCGGATAAGCAAACATAAGCATTACATGAGCCATCCTTTTTCACAATGAAATATTATAAAATGGCTTATTATTTTGCTGATTTATATGTCATATAAACAGGTTTGGGGCTTAATTGAAAGATTCGAAAATTAAAAAAAAAAAATTCATTTTTCCATTTAAATCACACGAATTCCTTTAATATTTCCGTAAAATTCGCCTTCACCAGTTTTTCTTGAAAAACATGGTGAGAAAATACACAATTTTTGCTGATTATAACTAATTTTGTTTTTTTGACTAACGTATTTTTTATCTTGAATACAGGTTGAAACCCTAAAATATTAATTACAAAAATTAATAGAGGTAAAGTGATCACTATTCTTGTTTTGAATTGAATAATCACTTTTCGAATTTCATATTGGATCATTTCAAGTTTTTTTTAATTAAAATTTAAAATATTATACAGCATACCGTATGGGAAAATTTTAGAAAAAAACATTACCAACTCATGCGGAACTATAACCTCATGATCTATTATCACTACTCGTCCTGAGAGACGGAATGAGCGAAACTGGCTCGTAGAAGTACGTGATCCATTATCACTACTGGTGTGGATCCCAATTTTCTGAAAGACAGAGTGTAGAACTGTCTTACAGAGAACCCGGCTCATAGTACCTTGTGATCAATTATCACCACTGGTGTGTATCACAATTTTTTGAAAGACGGAGTGTATAACTGTCTTACAGAAATTCTTGAATTCCATTCCTTACGAAAGAATGGATTCAAGTATTGTTCATTTTTGGTCGAAGTGTCGAACCGAACTTATAATGGGCGGTTTTCAAATTTGAATGATAATTACTTCTTTAATTATAACTAATGATGCTCATTAGTTATAATTTATTATTTAAATTATCATTTAAAATATTGTTAATGATCAAAATCAGTTATTATGGTTATTATGGTTTTTAGTGTTTATATTCACTATATTGTATCTATTCTATTAAAACATTTGTATTCACTATATTGTATCTATTCTATTAAATCATTTGTATTCACTATATTGTATCTATTCTATTAAAACATTTGTATTCACTATATTGTATCTATTTTATTAAAACATCAATATTGTAAAACATTTGTGTTCACTATATTATAATAAAGAATTTTATTCATTTTATTTGTTAAATATTACGTGAAAAAAATGTGAATCGTTTATTATAATAAAAATCAGAGTTATTAGTGATCTGTAGTTGCAAAATAAATATTACAATGAAATTCAGTATATAATGGAGTAATCGATTATTATTATCCATGAATAATTTTGTTCCGAAGCAAAAAATTATTTTCAATTTTATTGGTTTAATATCACGGGAATGTACAGTACATGTGACTACAAAATCTTCATAGTGTATTGTCCGGTCTCCGGAGTGACTTAATTATTTCATTTTAAAAAAAGTAAAAATTGTTATTTGTAATAATAACTTTGGCCGGTAATCTGATTATTTCGTTAATTATTCATATAGTATCACTAACCACTAACCAGCATTCAGTATTGACTAATACTCGTATAACCAAAAATAATGTATAAAAAAAAATTTTTATTAAAAAAAAAAAGTGAATTTATAGATTTTATTTTCCAATATCAATTTGAGTTAATAAATAATACAAAGGTAATAAATAATACAATAGTAATAATAAAAGAAATAAAAAGTTAAAAGTGTTGAAAATAAGTATACAAGTAAAATTAGGCCCGTATGCCGTAAATAACTTCTCCGAAGTATATAAGTGTGGAAGTAAATTCAGGCGCGTACGCCGTATATACCTCGGAGAAGCTTGCCTCTCCAATTTTTATAGCATTGTTAAGGCAACTTAAAAAGAGAAATAAATAAAATAAGTCTAAATAAGTTGTGGATCAGTTTAAGTCAGTTTAAGTAAACAATCAAATACCGAATCTATTTCTCCTTGATATTTGCACTTTCGGCATAACTAATATAATAACAATTATTACGTAGAGTAATAATTGTTATTATATTATTTATGCCGCTCATCAATCTGGCTACTGTATATCGAGGCAGCCAGATTGATGTCTCCTTCTTCTTGAGCATGACTTTAGATTAAAAAAATTAATAAAAGGAATGAGTTCAAAATAAACTTGAAATTTTGAAATTGATGACTATTCAGAATAAGATTAACGATTACTGTACCTAGTTTACTTGTATAATTTGTTTGAAATGTATCTAAGAAATAAAAATACGTTAGTCAAAATTTAAATTTGTTATAATCAGCATAACTATCTCATCCTTTTTCTTACTTGTGAAAGAAGAGGAGTTGTTGAAAGATTAGAAGAATTTATAATGTGCATTAATTTAATGTTAAAATATTTTTTTTGCTAGAAGTTCAAAATTATTTTGAGTGAATAAGCCCTAACCTGTTTATATAGCATATACAGTAAATCACCGTAATGATGATAAGCCTTTTTTTGTGAAAAAGGGGCCCATGGTAAATGCTTATGTTCCGCTCATCCTCTTTTTAGTGAAATCCAATTATATTGCAGTATATGAGCTCGTGTGAAATTTTTTATCTCTTAATTTGGTAAATATGAAGATGGAGATAGGAATAGAACTCCGATATTGAAAGTTTGAAACATAATTGACATTCTTCAAAAAAATCTCTAGCATATATTTGGAAACAATAACAACTAATCCAACCGTAAATAGCACTGCGTTTACATAATAAGCTTTTGGCGTCATCATATGTTGATATGATTAGTGAATTCAATCATATTATCATATATAATATGGAAATGATTGTTTAGTGTATATCGTCTCAAATAGTCTTAATTAATTAGTAAAAATAGAAACGTTTTATCGTACAATCTTTGTCAGATTCTTTAACATGAAAAATTAACGTTTTCCCGGTTATCTGAAATTTTATGTAATTATCACCTTTCGAACATAGAATATAAAAAAAACGAGAAAGAGTTTAATTCAAAGTCACAGCCTCATAGGATCTTGTTCTTTAGAACTTGCTGCATCTTCTTGTTTTAGTCCCTCAAAATCTTTTATTATCAAGTTGTTTTATTAAATGATTTTGATTTAAGCGTAGATTATTATTTTATTCACAAAACTGGAAAACAAAGAAAAAGATACAACTGGGGAAAGGAAATTCTATACTAAAGTCTAAAGGATACTATTAAACTCGCAGATATATCTTTCAAGCCCCGACCGTCTGTTAGAGTGTCGATCTCACCTGACCTATCAATTAAATTCATATGACTTGCCGAGATCTTCAGATTTTTTTCAAAAGGTTGGAAAAACAGGCGCCGAAACTCTTAAAATATTAGTGTTAGTTACGTCGTTTGTCAGCCAGCTTCTGCACTATATGAAAGGGTTCGACTTTCGTCATTAAGTCATATGATAGCCTTTTTAGGACGTGAGATAATTAATTAACTTCCGTAAACTATGAATACCAAACGCTGACTGGTTTGGCGTTGACTATTTCTATATGGAACCATTAATTTTTCTTGTTATGGGACCTATCAAACTTGCATCCGAAGGTTATAATGCCGAAAGATTAGCAAGTAGGGTTTCTAGTAGACCTTTGTGGAGGCCAGCTTTTTACATAAAAATTGAATTTAGTTCTTTGTTCTGTATCGTTAAGAGAAACTGATTTCGAGGGCATTGTCTCTGTCGATGTTGGATCTATTAGACTGAAAGGGGTTTGGCTTGTATAATTGAGCCGGTATATCCGATGAGCGATTAACAATCAACTTGAAACTGATGGGAATCTGTCTGTTGACCGATTAATTAAAAAAAGGTAGCACTTTTATTTCTGTTAAAGGGTGCTGTTACAATATGATTTCTTCCCGAAACTTGGATAGAACAAAATTTTGATTTTAATTTATCAAATGAGTTTTGAAAATGATTCATTTTTACATCCGATCAAGCGTGGGTAAACGGTGGAAATCTTAAAGTAGTCATCCAATATCTAGCACATCTAGCACAAGAAATGGGACTTGGTAAAATCAGCGGGAAAAGACTTTGTTAAACAATAATATTTTGAAAAAAAAAAATTAAAAAAAAATATGGAATCTGGTATAATATAACTGAAATCTGTATATCTTAAATTTTTATTTTCGCATATGGGTCTCAGCGGGTAACCTTTAAGGTTGATGCTGAATATAATGGTAATTCTATAGTTCTGTTTGTGATGTTATTTAGTAATAATATTTTTTTTGTTATATCATCAAATTGAATCGTTTTAATAATAATTTATTTATTTTTTTTATTGTAGATATTCATTAATAGAAGTTCGAGTTCTAAAGACCATAGTGGTGATTCTATAACTCTGCTAGTGATTTCCTGGGGGGCAAAACAAGATGTCTTTCAGAAATCTGTTGCAAAACGAGATGTCTCTCAAAAGTCTGTTGTGTGTTTATGTTACATTCGTCATTAAACTGAATTATTATAATTTTATTTAAAATAATTACCCAACAAACAATATATACTCATTTTTGGCATGTTTGAACTTTCATCAAAATCAAATTTCAAATTTTTATTCTCTAAAAATAAAAACTATATCTTTCGAAATAAAAACATTTGCCTTAGTATTCTCCACGTTTTTAAAAACTTTAATTTATTCAACTTATAAAATATATCAACTTATCGCCATAATCCTTTCACACTTTTTTTTTTTTAATTACAATTTACACCACAACCAACGAGAGAATTAAAAAAAAATTAATTGAAGAAAGGATCAGAAGATGGTGGTGATGGTTTAAGGTTGCTATCCTAGTATGGGTTTCAATAACGTCTGAACGACACACTGCTCACATCTAAATTATCCCAGAATATACGAGGATGTGGATCACAATGTCGAGGGATTTGGGGAACCGTTGTGCGAGATGGATCGATCGCTTTGTGGGGTTCGCTAATATTTGGTTATTGTAACTCTACTCCACGTATCACCTCGTTCCTAAGTCTAATAATAGAAAATGATGATGTTGTGGATCGAATAGTGACAAAAAAAAACATAGTATGTAAAGGACTTTAAACTTGCAAATCTATTTTAGCAGTTGATTTTTAGAAAAGTAACCTCGAAACTTTTTTGGTAAGAATTTTTGACAAGAATTAATTAATTAATTTATTTATTTTTTTAAAAAAAATTATAGACAATTTTGGAAATCAGATTCCTTCGGGTTTTTGCGCGAAAAAGTAAGGAATTCTAGCTCTTGAGTAGATTGCTCTTTTCTTGATGATTTCGAATTACATTTTAAAATTGGAATATTTCTTCATGTAGGATGTCTATCAATATATTTGTATATTTAAGCGCGTTATATAGGATATTGTACACAATTTTCGATCAATGAAGAGGTTGAGGATTACAAGTACAAAAAAAAAATTATTGAAGTATAAATTTTTTTAAAAAAAAGAATATTAAACCTTTACCACGAGTTCGTCAGCACTAAAGCTTTCGGATTTCTTCTTACAATAAAAAAACATCAAAATGAGGTGAGAGATAAGCGAATAATAATTTATTCTAATCATATATAACAATAAAATATTATTAATTAATTAATTACAAAAATTATAAATCACACCATTGGTGTTCAACACCACAGTTATATGTATTAATTATTTTTTTATTTATCATATAATTTTTTTATTCTATATTATTAATAGTCTAATTAAGATGTTTCCATTAATAAAATATTATAATCCATATTGCAATATTTAATGCTGTATCATAGATAGGGACAGAAAATTTTTTTAAAATTAGATCGATATCTATATTTATTATTTAAAATGTACTTGATTAATACTTTCATCAATGAGAATGGTAAATGAACATGGAATAATCTCTTAATGGGTGAAATTCTTTATTTTGATATTTTAACAATAATATTAATCACATTTGCATAACTGATCTTTAACCTGTTCCCTTGAATATACTAATAAAATTCGCGTTTATTAATTATGATTAAAAGAAAAAAAAAATTTTTTTTTTTTTTGATATTCTGGAGAAGAAATAATATCTACGTAATCACTAATATTGAAACTATCAGTGTCTTCCATAATTTATCTAATGATTTATTATACCCTTTATCCTGAGGAATGTTAGATGCAGTTGGGCGGATACCACCTATCTTAAACCATGCAGTGCGCACCATCCCTTCATGCTCATAATGGCTTCCCTAATCTTGATATATATATATATCCCCCTCCCCCCTTGAATATCATCACATTTGACACAAAAATCATTTCTTTTTATGATGTCTGGTCATTTTAGAACAAAAAATTCCAAACCCCTTGCAATAAAAATTTATCGACTTCTGAGCAAAAAAATAAATTTAAGGTATTAATGTTTAATATGAAACCTCCAAGTTAAAAAAAAAAATAAAAATGAATTAATTAAAAACCAAATTAAAGACTTACCCTTGGAATCTTCCTTAAATGATGCAATGAAACTTTTAGATTATAGTTGCTGATAATTAAAATTAACATATCCGTAAGCGAAAAAGACAATCATCAACATTTATCCGTATGGCAAGATACGCACTGCCACATGTAGAATTTTATAAATTGTAAGACACGTACTTTCATGTGATCAAATATTCAAAAATTTTAAATTTTTTAATTAAAGATTTTTATTTAAAAATAAAAAATAAAAGAGTAAATTCATTATTAAGTTTCTAATTTACTTAATTTGTTGAGCGACTTGTCCCGCATACACCTATAGATCCCTTTCATACATAAAAACGATATTGTATTGGGTTATAAAATTTTCCACTTCATTTCATCCTTGTAAGATCAACTAATCAACTATAACGCTTCATGGATATTGGACATGCTCAGAGCCCGCATTGTGAGTGAATTTCAATTGACATTTCTCCCAGGTTGTAGTTCAGGTATAGAATCGTTCGCGAGATATCTCCTTTCATCAACATTGTCCTTTGCAGTATAACAAGAATTTGTGGATTCTGTTCATAAATGATGACAAGAAGAGAGATATATATAAAAATAAATAAATATAAATATATGTGTGTGTGTAAGCATATTTATAATTTAAATAATTAGAGAATAAGATTATATTATATTTACCAGTATAAATTTTTACATAATCTTTAGGTATATTAGGAACAGTTGTCTCTACAATTCTCCAAGTAAATGCATTTCTTGGTTCAGGATGAAACGGGGAATGTCCACTAGATATTTCCCATAATAGTACACCAATGCATACTTATTGAGATGCAAACCAAGATTTGCTAATTTAATATTTTTTTGAATTAACATCATAATATTGAAACGCTGTTATCAGATGCAATAAATAACAAATATTAAAATTATAATATAATAACAATACAAAATAAGAAAAATAAGAATGTAAAATTTACCAAATCATGATGCGCAATTCCTTCATTATGTATGGACAATACAACATGAAATAATTGAATTGCCATATTGATTTTATCTTTCCAGATAAGTTCGGCACTAAGAGCACCGCAATCAGCGTATTCTACCGAAATTTTGAAAAAATTATTTTAGGTCTCACAAAAGGTAATTATATTTTATATATATATATATTTCAAAAATATTTAAAGCATTCATTATACCTCTTATATTGCCGTAAAAATGAATATTATTTTTACCAGAATTTACTTCAATCTTCTAAAACATGAATGGAGTTGTTTTAAAAATTTGATATACGTTAAAATAAAATTCACTTGTATAATAATTACCTCTTCAACAACTTTCTTTAGACGGCAAACTTTTGCCATGTTTCTGGAGCCAATTCTTTTAAATTCACGTTTGTTTAAATTGCTAGTATTAACTTGCATTTTTTTATTGTAAAATAAAACAACTGAGCGTGATTATATGCAAATTTTTATGTAGATTATCTTGTTACTGATTTGTTAGTTGATAATGCATAAAAATGGGCTGTGGAAAAGCGCCCTGGAACCTTACGTAATATTACATAATACTGTACATCTTATATTTGCGCAGCAAGAAATATAAGGTGCGAATGCTACTACTAAACTGCGTATTCCTTTATGCAAGCATATATCGTTGAATGATAAAACATATTATCGTTTTACGAATACCTTTTACGAATTTTATTAAAAGGATTTTATATTATTTTTATTTTATATGTTCTCTAGAGTTAAGATCCAAACACTTGCAACGTATATTCAATATTTCTTAGTTCTTAGAGTAAGATTCGGATTCAGATTCCTATTTCTTTTCAACTTCTATTTGGATTGGATCTTAAATTATATAGCATTATGTAGCGGATTGTAAGTTGTAACATTTTTCTTTACCCCTTTATATAATAAATTGTATCGTACTGATACTTTAGGTTACACTGATATTAATTCAGGCCAACACTATAAATTTAGCCAGAGTTAACATAAAGGTTCTATCCAAATCACATGACATAAGATTTAATTAGCTATCTGGAGTTTGTATAATGCTGGCAAAAGTTGGGTTTGGCCTGCATTATGATTCACTGATAACCCATATATAATGATAATTTGGTATATTGATATATTTTGTAAATGCCAAACACATACATACTAGCAAAAAATAATTGGAATTGCAAAAAATATGATAAATAAAAAATTAATAATTAAAATTTCTTCAAATTTTGTAAATTCTTACTAAATATTACTTATATATGCTGCCAAAATTATTTTAGGATGTTATAATTATAATTTAAAATACTATAATTCATTCAGTTTATATGTAATTTACTATGTAAAGTGCCAAAATAATTTGGGCAATATATATAATATTACTACTATATATTTATAAATTGTCAGCCTTTTATTTTATTTCTTTGTCTACAATTGATTTTTTAATTTAAAAAATAAATTGTAATAGTATATTTAATCTATAAAAAATCTGAAAATTTTAATATAACATTTAATTGCAATTTATTAAAGGTTAAATAGTTATATATTAAATTTTATATTAAACTAATTTTATTAAGAAATCAAAGTTTCTTTATTATATTAATCACAACTTAGTTCTAACCTTTAATTTTAATAAAATAAATTAAATTCAAAATTAAATAAAGGATTATAATAAAGTTTTTTAATATTACCATATATTATAGGCTATAGTATCCTGGGTATTTTGCAAAAATTGGAGGTTTGACTAAGTACTAAATAAAACTTAAAAATTCCATTTTTTGCAAATATCTCACAATCTACCAGTTCAATTTGAATGATCATTTTTTATTTTGACAAAAAAAGATAGTTCAAATCTGATCACTAGATTACGAGATAAATGTAAAATACCCATATAATTTTATGAAATTTTTCAAGAGAGGTACTATATATAGGAAGGTACTATAGCTCATAATATATAGTAGTTTAATAATATTTAAAATATTTGGAAAAATGTCAATTAAAACAAATGTAATATATCTAAAATTTATTTTATTTTAATGATTATTAATAATATTAATATTAATTTATAGAAAAACTAACTAATTAAATAACAACCAAATTTTTTTTAAAAGTATATTTTTATGTTTATAATTTTTTATTATAATTATATATGTTGATTGTTAATAATTAAAAGCAATATTAAATCTTTATTAAATTTTTACTTTACTTAAATTTTTAATGGTTTCTTTGGAAAAAAAATTATTGTAAGACAAGAAAAAGCTGAATTTTATACACTTAATGTTAACCTATTTGGCAATAAATCTGTAAAATTTGAAGCAATTTTAATCATTGGTTTCTTATTTATTACATTTTTTGCAATTTTGATTACTTTTTACCAGCACTGTAAGTATAATTTTGGTTTATTAAAATTAATTTATTTAACCTCTTAAAATAATTATTATTTTACAAATATAAAATATTTTGTATTTTATAGGTTAAATTTTATTTGAATAAATAATGGTCAATAATTTTTTAATATAAATTACTTTACTAATTAAACTATTATTAAGTCATTAAAAAGTTTTACAAAATCTAAAGTTAAACTAGTATTTAAAGAATTCACAATTTTAACTTAAAAGTTTACAACTTACTAATTTTATATAGTAGTTTTTTATCATAAACTTTATTTACATTATGTCTTTTTAAAGTTTATTTGAAGAACAGATAAAAATTCTGGCTCTCTAACAGATATTTTTAAACAAAGTTTGAAAAAAACATTGTCAAAAAAAAATTTTTATCATATATATAGAATGATATAAGAAGAAAGCTAGCCAATAGGAAAACAATCAGTAATGGTAAATATATAACATCAATTCAAGGTATCAAATCATTTCAAAATGGGCCAATTACTTAATTTGCCAAAATTTGAAATTAAATCAGGCCAGAGATAAAGTATAACAAAATTGAGAAGAAATCAAAGTACTTAATAATGAGGTTAGAATAATAAAATAAATTAATTTACTTACATTTACTATAACTTAATTATGCATTTACAATAACGTTAATTTTGATAACCATTTTTGTAAGACCTGGTTCAACTTTATTCGTAATGATGTGAAATCATATAAGATCTATGAAAAAATCTCAACTTGGTCACGATATGGTTTCGATTCACGTTCTAAAGACATCCTAACGTTATTATTATTATTATTATGAAACACAATTTTTCTCCTCAAGATTTTGCCCCAGATCCAATGAGTTTGTTTTCTCTTTGCATTACAACACAGTATACGTATGGGCCGATATGACTCATTGCATACATAGTAATGGGGAATCAAACACTATTAAATTATCACATGCAAACGAACATATCCGCCGATATGACTATATAATTTAATAGTAAAATAAATTCGGAATAAAGTAAACGATTAATGAATCAACCGTATTAAATTTATTATTATATATTTATAAATATTTATGGATCTCTTCTTATAATTAGAACGAACGGTCTATTTTTCTTTATTAAAAGAACTTTGTTTAAAGGAATAAAAGAAACTCAATTTAGAAATGATAAGGAAGATAAAAATTTAACATTCAGGCTGAACCCTAAATTATCTGAGTTGACCCTGAGTCACCAATATATTCGGTACTCCTCAAAATTACAATTGGGTCAATGGACATTTTTTGAAGGAAAATACTTAATTATTGGAACTGATTGTAAAGTGATATTTCGAAATAGAATTAAATAGAATAAATATTTTATATTTGTTTGTACAAGATTTTGTACTTTTATAAATTAAATATAAATAATAATGATTCAATGTTTTGATATTTTAAACGAAATTTAGCTTCGAAAGAAAGACCATGTATAAAACAAGAATTAAGGGCTGGCTGTCTACTATTCTAAGGATTAATTAATTTCCTTATTTGTTTGCTCATTGTTCTCCGACTCCAGTTTTTTGATTATAGTACAAATAATGATGTACGCGTACCAATTAATATGGATTATCAAAGAAATGCCGTAATAGGGACGGGTAAACAAATTCCCGAATCATATGTATTATACAAATATAGTGATTCTTCACAGCGATCAGGAATGGTTTAATATAATTATTGTAATAAACTTTTAAAAATTAGCATGGATAATCTAAATAATACGATTCATTAACAGTTAATGGATTCTTTAATCCGATTTCGAAACGTTGATTCGTGTTTTTTTTACTGAAATCCTTCCTAAATCAATAAACTCTTTTGTTTTTTGTTATTTACAGAATTTGTAATGTTTTCTTTCAGTACAAATAAATTTAAACATATAAAGTATTCCAAATTGGATCGTTTATGACTCCAGAACCAATTAAATAAATAGTAACATGTAACGTTCAAAGCGTTTTATGGAGACAGATTTATTTAATACAAACAATATCTAAGTTAAAAGAAAAATAAGTAATTGTAATTATGATTATTAATTTTATTTTTTTATTACAAAGAAATATCAATCGATTTACTAAAGTTTATTAGTGATCGTTCGTGTAACAATTAATTGTTTTGAGTACACTCGGGTGACAGAATTGTTGTGTACGTTGTGATTATTGAGTGATTATAATTACCCGGAAAAATTGTCCGATTTTGTTCGGTAATTTCCCGTAATCTAGTAATTTTATTTTATTAAGTAATTTGCATGGGGTAGCAGAACTCAGAGAAATTTTTTAGATTTTGTGGTAGCCACAGAAATATCTTCTTATGTGCATTCGAATTATTGTTTTTATTCTCAAGCTTGTAAGGAAAAGCAAACTAAATATGCCATACAGGCAATTATATTTTCTACATCACAAATTAGAAGAAAAGTGCAATAAAAATAAAATGAATTACCGCGACCTTAGGGCAGTGACATTTATCCATTTGTTATAAGTCTTAACCCCGCATATAATACATCATATTCTTTTACCCCTAAGATATTACGTAATAAATGTCATTGCCACACAGCCACAATGCCACATTAATAAACATTCCAATTTTTTGTACTACTGTATATGAACCGGGATTCTGGGATCCTGAATCTAATCTGGTTCATTTCCCAAGAAACTTATTGTTTTTCAATGTTGACAATAATAATTCCTCATCACCCCATCACAATATGCGACATTTAATCAGCAAGCACGATCAATTGTTGGAAATAGCGCCAAAGGGCCGAACCCAAACTAATTTCTTTGCATATTTTTTCATTAAGAACTACATGCAAAGTATCTATGTGCTATATTATTTTTGATTGTTATAATAATATGCACTTACAGTAATAACAGTATTCATTTACTAGAACTTTTTAAGATAAATGTTCCTTCACTTAATTTTTCTGATATAAAATGCTGTACAAGATAAATCTGACCAATAAAATTCGTCAAGTCACGTTACCGAAATTTTTTTTTGGAGTTTAGATAATTCTTAATTTTGGACAATAATCTCTTGATAATTTTGGCCAAGATTATTTATAAATGTAAATGAGGTTGATACAGATCAAGAAATATCATTAGGAGAGCCAAGTATGATGTACGAAAATAAATTCACCGGTTTTCTCTGTTTTTTGAATCATTTTTATGCCACTCTGCCACACGGCAAAATCTATATCAGGGAAACTAATCAGATTTACACAATAATATAACGAACGAATCAAAAAAATTGTTGATAATTATCTAGAATATCATAAATTATTGTTATCATTATTATCAATCAAAGCGAGAGCTCTAGATAATTACTCATCGATAAAATGAAAGATAGTGTCTCTATGTTTTATATTTGAAATCGATCAAAAAGAAATTACGTATCAGAAATCAAGAACGTGAACAAGTATTCTATATTTTATTAAACTGATTTTAGTGATTTACGTTTTTTTTATTACGTTTTTTTTTTAAGATAATTTCAAAACTAGCATTTTATAGTTTATACTTCATAAATATATAAATCTATAACAGTAAAATATGATGTTTATTGTATTATATGTAAAATTAATTCCTTGAATTGCTTCTTATTATAAAGAATTTTTCATATAGAAAATAATAATATATTATTATAACTGAATATAATTGTATAAAAATAAAACTCCACAAATGATAAATAACTGCACGTTAGAATTTTTAATTCCAATTCTAAATTTATAATATTATTTGAATATTTTCCACTACGGCTACTATAAAAAATTATGTGCGAGATATGCGGAAATATGTGGAGGTGTGCACATGAATTTTTAAAAACACTACGTTAAATAAAATTACTTATATAAGTAAAGATAATCTTGAAATTAATAATAACAGATAACGATAAAAAATAAAATAAGAAAACTTACACGTACTGTACAATATTCCCGAGCTAAGTTATCTATTTCTGGTGGTCACCCGGCCATACCAATCTAGAAAAATGAATAATGTTATGATGAGGGTAAGAATATGATAGAAAGACTCTAATTAATTACTACCTGAATGGCCGGTTCTATACTTCAGCATTACGTTGTTAATAGTCGATAAGCCAATGTTGTAGATGTTATAGAAACTGTTTATTGAAGTAGAATTTAACATCTTGATAGTATCAAATTTAGGATTAGGATTAGAGTTAAACATCTTAAAAAAAAAAATTTTTTTTTTTTAAAAAGAAAAAGATTCATGGGTGAAAGTGGTCATATTTAAAAGAAAAACCTCGACGCGAAAAACCATTTTGATAATGAAAAAACACGTTTTATTATAAATAAAATGTATAAAATGTGAAATTGGTTTTTTATCATACGGAGATATGGCTGAGACATGTAGCGATTAATTTTCATGTGAGATCAGTCAGTTCAATTTAATCAGATTGAAGAAAAAGTATAAATTAAGTGTCGATTTTGAGTTTATCTTTCAATCCGGATATTTACATTATCCGATGAATATCTAGTACATTCAGGATATCCAATTTTTAATTAATGCTTATATAATAATAATAAGTCATACTGGTGATACAAGAGTGAATTAATTAGTATAAATTTAATTACCAAATAATAATAATTAAAGCTTCTTTGGGTGATCCAATAATGTATTAAAGGTGAAAGAACGCGTTGTCGTATAGAACAGTTATAGAACAGTTAGGGATAAAATGGTTTGTACTTCTGATAATCTGTTATTATACAATAATTCGTGTGATTGTATCATGCAAATCATCCTTAAAATTTGGTTAGCGTGTCTATCTGTTATTAGTATCCGTTGATGTCTGTCAGATAATGCGGATATGCAGGTAATATCTGGATATTCGGCTATCTATCCAAATAAGATTTGAATTCACGGAAAATATAGGTAAAATAAAATTCTTAATAAATATAATAAATAAATATAATTAAATATAAGAACTTTGATAAAAGTAAATATAAGAATTTAAAGAAAAATTTAATAAGTACAGTATTATTAGAATTTATTTGAATTATGTATTTTTATTTATTATGCCTATTAGAATTATGTTAATATTAAAAACCATAACAAAAAGGATAAAATTAAAATACAGTCAACTTTCTCTAAATGCACCCCCCTTGGAATTCCTTGGAATTATAATGAAAATTTGAAAAAATATGAGGTGAGGGTGCATTTAGAAAATAAATATATATATAATGCATGCATTTAAAAAGAATGCATTTAAAAAGAGTTGACTGCATTATTAATTATAAAATATTTAAAATTAGGTATAATCTTAAGTATAATATAGTTATTGAATAATATTATCAGTCCTATGGAATAACCAATCTTTTTTTTATAAGAAATTTTACAAATATGAATTTTCAAAAAAGGTAATTGTTATGCTAATTTTTTAATATTACTTGGGTATATTTAACATTTTAAATAAATTTGCAAATTAGATAAAACTATATTTAATATATATTTTTTTCAAATATATAAAATTTTTCTAATTATATAATTTACAATTTATTTATAAAAGTTTTTTAAATAAAATAATGATAAAATTTGCTAAATAAATTATTTCAGTAAAATACTTGATTTAAAATTATATTTAATATAGTATTTTCAAATATAAAAATTTCTAATTAGTAATTTTACTGGTATAAATAAATCATATAATTATATTGCAGTAATCGCAGTATTGCAGTAAAATTTTATTTTTTATTAATAAATTACAATTGAACTAAAATTCTATTTAATTATAATATTAATTTTTTCACTAAAAATCTTACTTTTACAATTATATAAATTATGACCTAAATTCTGGCACCTTTTACATTTCCTTTATTTCTCATTATTTCCATTATTATTATTTTCTGAAATACATTTTAACTCCAAATCAGTAGTCATTTTTTGCTTTATATTTTTACTTGCAGTTTTTACTTTTACTCAAATATTAATTTAAAGGACGTTCACACCTTCTTGAAGCTACTGAATTAAAACAAACAATATTAGACTTTTTAAGATCTAGTAAAAAAAGTTTCAAACTAATTCAAATCCAAATTAAAATCAAAACCAATAGTATTTACAAAATGAAAAAAATAAATAAATATTTTTTAAATATTAAAAAAGTGATTTGAAATGAAATTTTTAAAATTTATTATTATCAATCTAAATAATTTAAATTCAAATTCAAAAATTAATGCTAATACCTATAAAATAAATAAAAAAAATTAAATATAAAATATAAATATAAAAAAAATATTCAAAAAAGTTTTTTTAAAACTTACTAATCCTATAAAAAATTTTTATCTGAATATTTCCATTATTTCTCTGTGTCTTCCGTAAAAATTCCGTGAAAATGATACATTCACAGATATCCGTGTTAGCGAGATGAAAATTTCCATGATTTAAAGCTATTAATTTCATGAAAATGATACATTCACGGATATCCGTGTTAGCAATATGAAAATTTCCATGATTTAAGGCTATTAATTCCATGAAAATGATACATTTACAGAAAAAACACGGAAAGATAAAATACGGATCAGATTTTTTACAGGGTAATTCAAATCCAAGTTTAAGATTAGAAATGATAGTAATCTAAAAAAAAAAAATTAAATATATTTTAAATATAATTTATATCCAACCAAATTTCTAATTACTAAATAAATCAGGTAATTGATTAAAAAAAGGTACCAATTGCCAATTGGGTAGGTACTTAATTGATTAGTATTTACTTATGTAAAGATATTTTCTTGCAAAAGCTAAAAGTGAAATCATTATAAAATTGGAAAAGATATAAGCTTTCCCAATCAGAAATAAAAGAGTTGGAAATAAAGTATCTTTTAATACAAAAAGACTTATCAGAAATGGATTCCCTTAAATGAGAATTAGACAAGGCAAAATGTTAAGCTAAAGAATATTGACTTAGATCTGAAGGAAGAAAAATTAAGAAAAAGGATGAATTAATGCGGATGAGAGATGATTTAACCTTAACATAAATGGAATTGATGGATAAAAAAAAGGATTAATGATTTAATGCAGATGAAAGATGTATTATTAGAGAAAGAAATCCTTTTTCAAGAGACTAATACTCATTTAGCTGAGTAGATTTCAAAAGTATTTAGTGAGTCTAAAAGATTGGAGGTATTAAAGAACTGGACAATGGACAATATCACTAGTCCTGAAACAACATCAGTATCACCTAATTCTTTCTTTTTCAGCTTTCTCATAATATTATTATTATTAATAATATAGTTCCCATGGTCCATTATCGATCAGCTATATTCTTTTATTTCATTTTTCAATGAAAAAAATCTTACAAATTATAAAATACCCTTTGATAGAAATCAAAGATATGATCACAAAGTATGAGTCATTCCAAACGTAGTAATGACATGGGCACATGGCGAGATCAACTCAAAAAAGAACTGTGCGAAGAGAACTGGATTGCACTAAAGTATGTTTAGTATTACGAAGACCCATATGTAGTTATTCCTAAGCATCATCGAGAATTGGGTCTCATTGAATAAACTTGAAACCTTAAATGCTTCATAGTCGTTACACTTGCATTATTTTTCATAATGGACTGTAAATTTTTTGTTATATAAGATATGCATATAGGTTATAACAGATATTGGGATGATGCGAAAACAATAAACTAGGAGACTGGATTATGTCACAATCATATACGCACTACAATGATTTATTTAAAACGCAAAAAGCGGTAAAGTATTTTACTATTTATAATTATTACATAGTGATCATGCATAAAGATTACATATTAAAATACTAAAAATAAACCGATTATTCCATTAGCCTAACCCACACTCAATCAACTATTAAGTATCTTTTTTATTTGCGGACTATTTGGTAAGTCTCTCATATATCGTATTTGTGGTAGAGTTGTTTCACTTTGGCAACCTCGGGAATTGTAATCCTCAGCAATTTTGCAGATGCGTTCCTACCAATCAGAATATAAACAAAATATGTTGTTAGCTGTTTCATTGCAAACTTGAAAATGAAATATGTAGTATATATGTACCTCTAATGCTTTAATGTGGCGGATATTCGACTCCATTAAAGGAATGGTCGTTTTATCCTTGGTTAATCGTGTAGTTAAAAACGGCCATGAACGATAAAGTCCATCGTACCTTAGATCCATTATATGTGATTCTACCAAATCTCCTGAAGGCATTGTTAATATATTTAATTGAAGTTGAATCAAGTTTTACCGATCACAAGCAAACATACCTTGATTTGTTAGCAAAACCGTTTCGTCTGGTCCACCTTTCGTTCTTAATAATTGATTGATTGACTTTCGCGCTCTCAACTGTACCTTCAACTTGTCCTTTTGTCCTTGGAGAGGTGTGAATCCGGATGGCTTTATCTCTGAATTCAAGATAGGAATATCGTTAACCAGGCACGAAAAATCAGGCCTTGTCGTCGAACCGCTAGTAGTACGATTCAGTCGAATAACGTATTCTTCGCGTGAATCGGTGAAAAACAATGGACGGATGATTGGATGTAGCAACTTAAAGCAGTGCTCGTCCTCTGAAGTTTTTGCTGGAGCAACTTTAGGAACACTGCTACATCTGTTATATATGAAATAAAAAGTTAAGGCAGATCCGATCTCAGTTTTAGATATGTTATGGGATAAAAACTTACATGTCATTAAATATTCGTGAGACCACCCGCCCGATTTCGGAATCTCCCAAGGATAAAAAAAGGGGCCTTGCCTTCCATGAATTCGGCCAAAGAATTCCGTAAAGAGAAACATACATCCGATGGCAGTACCGGTTCAGTTATAACATAGGGATTCTCACGTGTAATCGTCCGCCATTCCCGAATGGTGAAAATATGATCAGGGTAGGGGCAAGGCGAATTTAAGACAATTACGGAAGACAATGCCCTATCAAGCATAAATAGAAATCGTTAGCATGACACATTATCCAATATAATCATTACATGACCAAAAATACTTACAACACTTCATGAAAATCACACCATTTTATTCCATCAGTCTTCGCTTTCTCGAGGATTTCTATTTGATATTTTCTAAATCTTTGCGATACATTTATGGTACCGACTTCCCACTAAAAACGGATGTAAACTGTTGAGATATGCAGAATAAAAGCACCGGAATCTTGACATGTACCTCATTTGATTGTTCCCGTAACAATTCTTTTTCAATGCTTGTAAAATCAAGCTTTATTTCTTCGTCACCCTCGGGCCCTAAATCAGAAGAGGAAGACTGCTCAGAAGAATTATTATTCCGAGTACTTGTCTCCGAAGCATTTTTTGATTTCCTAGTATTTTCTTTTGAAGCAACTCTCGTAACTTTTTTCGCCTAAATATAGAAAAACACATAAGCTTTTACCTTTTTATGTGTTTCCAATTCAATTCCTTCATTTAATACTTTTTGTGAGTGTAAATAACTAATAAGCTGTCCATAAAAAAGTATTAGGCGAGTAAATATAAGCTTATATAAATCCCTGAGTTTGAAGCTATTAATGTCGATAATTAAACAATGTGAATACCATACCTCGCCTTCCTCGTTGAGAATGTTCTTTTCATCCAATTTCAGTCGTTTCATAATCGCACTTTGTTTAGTGGCGCTTTGAAAAAAACTATCGATCTCATCCTACAAAAATGCAAAAATTTAATGTAAAAATATAAACTATTGCGAAAACACTAATAGAATTCCTTTGAAGAGTGGCTGTTACCTTTTCTATGGGTGATGTTAATGCATCTGTATCGTCCTTACCTGTATCATCATTGGTAGCTTTTCTCTTGGAATTCTTCCTATCCGATAAAATACCCAACTTTATCTGGTTCAAGATAACTTGAGCCTCATTTCCGGCTAAAGTTTGATCCAAACCAAATTGTATCTGCAAATAGTAAGATACTGTTAGTATAGTTCATATGCACCGATATTCAAGTTAAAATACCTCGGCTTGATCCATTTTCCTATTCAATAACTGTTCGTCTTTCTCAACTTTCTCGAGCTCAACGTTGCTCCAGAAAGAATTAGTAGATTCCCATTGAGTCTGACACTTAAAAAGCAGAAATAAATTAAAATCTATTATAACTTGTTTCAATACAATTAAAGGTGAGACATTTAGGAACTGCGAATGAACGAGTTGTTCTTGACACCGAGACGAGTTGTCTCTGGCCTTCACGCAGATTTAAATGAAGCCCACCGGAGGAAGTTCATAACTAGTCTCCATAGCTAACCTAACGCGTTGTAAGGTTACTTAGGCGGTTGTTTTGACAGCGTCCAACTTCATTTCTATTCCCTCACCGCTTTGTGTCAATAAAGATCTTAAATATACTAACGCTTAGCGCTCTTTTGAGGATGAAGGCCGCCTCTTTCCAATTTTCATCTGCATTTTCTGCAACGTATGAAACGAACTTTGATACAAGAGTATGCTCGACCTTCTTATTGAACGAGAAATCATCTTTTGTCTTGCGGAATTTTAGGATGGAGAGAAGGGAGAAATCTTCGGGAACCAAATCATTTTCCCATCCTTTAAACTGTAACAGAAAAGATAAAAGACAATAAAACTTCCTAATGTAACCTTAACTTTATTGAAAACTTACCATTTTGTCGAGATTAACAGGCATATGGTGGTTTTATTCAGTTTTCTTTATATTGGTTCGGGTAGAAAATATAAAAAATAAAAAAGCAGTAACGCGACTATACAGTATGCTCAACTTGATAATTCGATCATGTGCCGATAAGAACCATCTGAGTTCGTTGTGTTACTTCTTGATTTACATCTCGCATAACCCGACGATTGTTTTCTTGCAATACATAATGCTGGGAAGGGCGTCCTTAACGTACAGTGGGGATGTACAATTTTAACGTACAAACTGGCCTGAATTTAGGAGTTATGCACTTGCACGTGATAGCGTTAACGTTAATTCCGGCCAGTTTGTACGTTACTCTCAATGTACATTAAGGAGGGCGTCCTTAACGTACAGTAGGGGTGTACAATATTAACGTACAAACTGGCCCGAGTTTAGGAGTTATGCACTTGCACGTGATAGCGTTAACGTTAACTCCGGCCAGTTCGTACATTAATATCATACACCCCCACTGTACATTAAGGAATCCCCATTAAGGAACCTCATACTGGGAATACATTACATTCCGGGGACACAATTTTTCCTGGGCCATATTTTTGCATTTCCTATCAGTTTAACAATTCTCATAAACTTATACAATTCAATCAGAATTCCCAGAAATCATTTCTAACGGAATAGGATTTTTAGAGTGATTCAAAAGGCTTTGATATGCTCTTTTAACCAGGCTTTCTGGAAGCTTATCAATAATATCTTTATACTTGAAATGGAATACTATAATGTAAATAGACTAGAGTGAAATAACGGTTCCTAACTTTTACTCTTTTAGCATGAAGAGTACTAACCAGAAATATAAATAATCAAAAAAAAATGGGTAGTGGTAAAATATGCTTTGAAATATGTTAAAGAATAAGGAGTAGATGAGTAGTATAAAATTCTAATTTAATAAACTGGAAACATTGGGAAATATCAAATATGGTATTCAGTCAACCACTTGACTCTTATATAATCACACCTTTTAGGACCAAAAAAAATTGGGGTGGTTATAAAAATTCTATATAATAGATTTTTTTTTAATAAGCTTATTAGTAACTTGGACTAATATAAATATGCTTATAATATAAAGACTTATATATCTGGGTGGGGCCATGCCACTGCACCATGTGACCATACAGCAATATGTAAAATCTGAATAAAAAGTAAGTGTGCACATTTTTGTGATATCATATGTGTACAAAAAATTTTGATGTGCACCAAATTTTTTAAAAATAATAAAATCAGCTCTCAATATAATGAAGTCAGTAGTTTGGCCAATCAGGCCTTCACTATAAAAAAAAATCATTAATATTATAACAAATTATTTGGTATAATATAATGAATATTCAGTATATCATATAACGAATTATCCATTATATATCTATAATAAATTATTTAAAAAGTCAAATTAAATTCACAGGTTAAAAAGTGAAAAATCAGGCATCAATCAATCACCAATCAGACTAAGGTTGCTGGAGAAACTAGGGGTTTTGGCAAGTTGGCAAAATGCTGAAATGGTGAAACTTTACCGAAACTATATGAAAATCTTATTAAAAAATTGGTGAAACTTTGGAGAAAAGTGAAACCTGACGAAACTTATTATAAATGCCAAAACTGCCAAAACCTTGCCAAAACTATAATAAAACTATAGTAAAATCTTGGAGAAACTAATTATAGAATTTTGGAGAGGTTTAGACAGGTAACCTTAAATCAGGCAGTTTGCTAACTTTTGATCCAGTAATCAGAAAAAAATAAAATATAGCTTATTGTAATCGTCTTAACGAGACAAATCTAATGGTAGTAAAATCGCATTTCTAGAATTAATACATGATGAGAAATTAAGTAAAATATAAAAATAAAAATGTATCATTTATATTTTATTTAATTTTTTATTAACTATTAATCCTAAAAATGTGATTTTACTACCATTAGATTCGTCTCGTTAAGACGATTCCAATGAGCTATATTTCATTTTTTTCTGATCACTGGATATATTTGCATTACAATTTATTATATTATAGAAATATTATATGTCACAATAATGTAAAAACCTTCTTAAATAAATCAAATTACATTTATAAAACTATTAAGATCAGTTTGCCTTGCAGAAAAAAAACATTGTTTTAAAGCTTCTTTTTTTAGCTTTTTAACATATTTCAGTTTCTCATTTTTTGAACTGAAAATTTTTTTTTGTTGTTTTAAATAGAGAATTACTTTATCATAATAATCGATAGCTTTATTATGAGTAATAGGATCTGAATTTTCTACTTCCTTTTTTCTGATTATTATCATTATTGGAAAGAACCACCTTTAAAATCTCTTCATTAGATATTATATCTGTTATAATTTCAGAATTATCATATTGAATGTATTCTTTTGCTATAAAAGGATTTTCAATATTAAGTTTATTAATTAATTCTTGAATTTCGTCCAATTACTCTAATGTAACTATGAAAAGTGCATTTTTACGTGATTATCCATTTATTGGAGATGAATCACTTTCTGAACCTATAATATGAAAAAAAAAGCAAAAATCTGCAAAATCGCAGATTTCTGCAAAAATTTACATAAAAAAAAAGCAGAAATCTGCAAAATCGCAGACTTTTACATAAATTCACATAAAAAAAAGCAGAAATCTGCAAAATCGCAGATTATTGCAAAATTTTGTAAAAATTAAAAAGTGTAGATCTGCAAAATCATAGACTTTCACATAAATTCATATAAAAAATGTGGAAATCTGCTAATTTTACAGATCTCCACAGTTCTGCATCTTAAAAAATTTTCTGATAAATTAGTTTCATTATTAACAACACAAAATCCAGATTTCTTGATACCACATTCAGCAAGTTCTTCTTTAATAAAATTTAACTTGTATTTATTAACATTTAATAATTTAATAGTGCATATATAAGCCTAAACCATGGCTTAATATAAGTAAACCATTTTCAGATAATAATTTTTTAATAAGATGATAATGGATTTCTAGTAGGAGTATACAATAATATGTAAAGCTAAATTGAGAAAATCAAAGATAAATTTAAAGGCTATTTTATTATAATTTTACTGATCATTTACCGATCATTTGTCAATCATTTATTCAATCTTGTGCTCAGTATTTAAATTCAAATAAAAGTTGATTAGATCAATATTTATTTGTATAAATTATAGACTAGTATATTTTGTAATTCTTCTATAAACCTAATAAAATAAAATTTATTAAATTATATTATAATACTATTATAATCTAAGTATCTAACGATATTTGATATAATATTTCAAACTGATTATCTATACTGCTTTCTAAAATATTTTCAATACTTTTATCATTATTATTTTCATCAAAGTTTTTAAAGTTTTTATTATTTTCATCTTCAACTAAAGGTTTTTATATCTTTTAATAATGGTATTTATCTATTGAATTTTATGACATTGGTATTATTTATTATTAAAATTTATCAGTTTCTTTATAAGTAAAAAATCTGAATTATGGACTGGAACATTGAATTATTTTTGTTATAAATTACATATTATATAAAGAGTGTCTGTACAAAGTTTTGAATTCTGGTTTTGCATATTTGGCTCTAATATCAAATTTTTGTCTAAACCTTCAAATTATCACATATTAACAATTTATCATATAAAAAATTAAAAAACTATATTAAAATTTATGATTTAAAGTATAGAATAATATGATAGTTTAAACATTTACTTTGCAATATACTTTTTTATGAAAAAAGTGATCGGTAAAGACGTAAAGTGATATAAGCATATTAGGTGATCCTACTGGAGAAAAATTAGAATTATTTATGAAGACATTATAACTGAAACTAGTACATCGGGAATTTTTTTTTATATAATAAATATATATTATTTTATATAGCCATACATAAAAATCTTTATAGTCCATAGGGACCATGAACAATATAAATTTATGTAAAATATTGTGCAAAATTTAAGAATATTGTATATATTTATATATATTAAAATAACATAAATTTACACTTTTAATTATAAATATTTTACTTCAAAATACACAAAATTACACTTTTAATCACTAAAAATTTCATTTTAAAATACGTAAGATTACACTTTCAATTATAAATATTTTTATTTAAAAATATATAAAATCGCAAATAATTTTATTTAAAATTTCATTTTAAAATACGTAAAATTACACTTTCAATTATAAATATTTTTATTTAAAAATATATAATATCGCAAATAATTTTATTTAAAAATTTCTTTAAAAATATATAAAATCGCAAATAATTTTATTTAAAAATACAAATTTAACTAGCACTACTATATATTTCTCTATATGTTCTTATATAATAATTTTCTACGCAACGAGATGGATAAAATAATTGAAGTCTTATACCTAATCTTTCTGCATAGTACCATTCTATGATAATATAACAATAATGAAATAAGTTAATAATTAAGCGCGAATTCAAAATACAATATTTATTAAAATATTAAATAAGATACCTGAAGTTAATTCATTAGTCTTAAAATGGACTTCTTTTCTATTTTGATTCCATCTTGAATTTTCATCCAGAATATAGCATACGACTGCAATAGCAAATAGACGGTCATTTTTAGTTGCTGTTTTTGTTTGAAAACTTCTTTTAATAATTTCATCCATATACGTGGTATTTGACTCGTCTGGCATTATTGTACCCAAGTTTTCAAAACACCATTTAGTATTGTCTGATTCTTTCCAAGAAGTAATGGCCCTAGAACTTGCATCAGAATCAATATGTTCAAGTGAATGGCCAAACACTTCAAACATCTTTTGTTTAATTTTTGAAACAATTCCACCACGTAATGAAGTTAGCTTAGTAGTAATTACCTATTAATAAAACAATATACAGTATATAGTAGTAATTATAATGTATAATATTAATCAACTTAACTTATAAATAAATAACTTACTGCTGAAAGTATACCATTCTCAAATAATAAATCCCACTCGTTAGATGCCATTATTAGTTTTATTTTTTCGGATTGAAATTTTGTTAATATACGCAAAGAAGCCTCTTTAACTTGTTCTTTTGTTGGATATTTGTAATCTAATATCAAGTCTTCAGCAATATATGAAATATAAACCTAACAAATAAAATGTTTATTAATGAGAAAACGTAATATGCGTTATGAAAATCATTTAGTATTACTTACATCAATCCAACCGTGAGTCTTTTTGTTTGATGATACTGCTTTTAAACTTTCATCACTTGACCCAATAGCATCTTTAATCTCACTTAATTCATTATGGAAATTTTTGTTATCACTTTCTAATCCCATTACCTTGGTTGATAGAAATTTAAGATCTTTTTGGTTCTGCATCACAACTTCAAGAATTTTCGTTAATATGCGAGAATCTGATGCTAAAAAATTAATTTTCTATTATAATACATATACATAAATATAAAAAAAAATAAAGAGTTGTAAATAAAAATACTTTGTAATAAGGTTGAATCATGTTCATTTGCAGAAACGTGAGAAGATTTGTTGGAGTCATCAGTTTGGTTACCATCATTCTCTTCAAACTTATCATTAGAACGTAATGAATTAAGGTTATTTTTAGTAGTATTTTTACATTGAATTGATGAAAAAAGTGACTTTGGGATAGAAGTTGATGTTGGAGTGGAAATTAATGTATTTTTTTGTAAAGTAGGAGTAGAAAGTGACAAATGAAAAGGTCCAGTATTACTTCTCTCTAAAAGTGGTAATTGTGATGATGTTTCTTTTTGGTTTTTCTCATCATCACTACTATCATCTGAACTTGATGCTATTGACCTTTTACGTTTATCATTCAAAGTCTCATCATTTATAGTTTTATCTACTACCTCTATTAAATCAGTATTTTTACTTTTACTACGACCTTTATTGGAATTTTTATTCCGACTTTGGCCTCTACCTCTGCCTCGACCTCGATTTCGACTAGCCATGTAAAAATTTATTATATGTTATGATATAAATTAAAAAATTTTATTGAAAAATATTAATATAAAAGTAATAAAAAGCAATAAAACTTTTATGAAATAAAAAAAAGAAAATATAAACGCGATCAGTTTAATAATGGTCGTATTTAAAGTCTATAAAGTTACACTAAAGTCTAAATTAAGCTTTAAAAGTTTAATAATTAGTTTCCGGATAATTTAGTGTGTTGCAGATCATCCATTAAATTATCCGTCAGACTCTTAAATATTTTACGTCATTAACAGTTAATATCTACATTGTTATCTAAACAACAATTTTTGTCCTAAAAAATATTCTCAACTGGACCACTTGTAAATTCCTTATAAAATTCATAAATCCAAAATTAACTTTTCATTGTGAATTCTTAACTTCTTAAATTCCGATGTCATTATCATCACAATGATCATCATTAAACAATTCCGAAGTTCATTGTATTATCTAATCTACAATTCCTTTATCACAATCACTTTCCTTTGTAATAATTACGTCAATCAATTTACCTCCTATTACCTCTCCTAATAAATAATAAATAAATAAACAAAGACAGATCAGAATGTGACTCTTTCCAACGATCATCTTGTCCACAAATTTTTAGGAAAAAGATGAAACAAAAAACAGAAGAGTTGTTATATTAAAATGTTTTTTGGAGCCAGATAAACGTCACCAACTGAATATTCTCTCTTTTACGGACGTTCAAGACGAGTTTCAAGCAAGGACAAGAAGTACGAAGTCCAAAAGGGGACTTGAGTCATGTTCGCAACCTGGGAGGCATATTACAACAAAACGGTTTGGGCCTAACAATTTTTAGGAACAACCGTATTTTGCATGATGATTGATAACATTCTGCGGACGGGTCAGGAGTCTAATACCTCTACTTCAGGCTTAAGACTTGTGAGTGCTCTTTTCTAAAGGTCCTTCAAATTTTTTTCTGTCTTGCGGCGCAGCATGTGGCGCAATAGAAATTTCTTTGACTTTCTGAGAACCAATTATATGTTTAGGAAATTGCATCATAAGATCAACGGTTGCAGCACATTACAAATAAAATTGACATGACCATAATAACAATTTTTTTTTTGGGCAGGTGAATTACTAAACAGAGTACATGTTGTCTTCAATGCCTTGAGGTGTGAAGGTTCTGGGCATCAAAGGAGATTCTGGAGAGGGATGATGTGTTGTTCTTATAGTGTGTAAGATGCGATTTAGCCTGGTTCATTCATAGTTAGTTGTAGTGGTTTGGGGGCTATAGATATCTTTGGGTTTTTTAGCGATCGTGAATCTGTAGTCTCGTAGATTTTTTATTTCTCTTGTATAATTTATTGTTTTGTTTTTTCTTCAGCTCATTAGTCTTTACTTCATTTTATTATACGGAGATTTCAGTATGGAGAGATTTAGGAATACGTTTAGCATTGACTAAATTTCAATGTATTTTATTGTATTTAACATGGAACTTGTTCTTCTACACTTACAGAAATAAAAAATGCGTTTACCGATAAAAAAAATAAATAAACAAATACACAAACAATAAACGATTAAAATATCATCTTAATAAATTTCGTTAACATCATTGTGGACGCAGTAAACAAAATTAAAAAAATAAACCCTACACTTAATAATTCACTAGGTAAATTCTGGCATTACAGTGTCATTAGAAGGCGATGACGTCATTTTTTGTAATAGAGCTTCTTGCAACGAATGGTAATACCATGTTGTCGTTCCCATTGCTTGAGTTTGTCAATGTAATCTTTCCATATTATCAAGGCGGGCATAATGTTGTATAGGAATAATAAAATGACACGCTGCACCAGTGCGTGTTTGTATAGATATCAATAGAGTAGATTAGTAAGCACTGGGAATAAATTGGTATATGAGCAAATAAATTCGTGTTTCTCATCAATGTTAGGTACGAAGAGAGGAAGCATTGCTAAATCATCATCTAAGAAATATGTCATAGTATTCTGTGTGTTCCAAGATCAGCTGTTTGAGTATAGGTTTGTGTTCAGAGATAATGTTAAATACTACCCGAACTATATAATTTACCAAATGTTTCGTGTCTGAAATGTCACGACATGAATAACACTAATTACCATTTAGGATTTTACCCGTCTATTTGAACGGATCTTATTAAGAGTGATGTTGCCAGTTGCCACATGGTAAAATGTGATTGGCGCTTTTGATGCAGTATGAGTGAAGTTTGGTTTTCCGCTCACTTGTGACGTCTTCGGTTGAATTGTTGGGTTTTTAAAGAAAAATGTCAAAGATCTTTTGAATTGGTTGATTGTGTAGGTAAGAATTGAACGTGTAAACATCAGTGATTTGTTACATAAAGTTTTCGTAGTGCTTTATTGATAGACCAAGAGCTGAAAACCTTAACATAAGTATGTTGCTTGATACCGATCGATGTGATTTTAGAAACTGATAATGATGATAAGAAGTTGTGTAAGTAATATCCTGTTGGTGGCTGTAAACCTGTTTAATTTCGTTATTACTCCATTTTTTGTATATGTTGATAACTGCATTTTTTGGTCAGTGAGGTTTGATTGGTTTATATTCAGATGATGAATCGTTGGAATGGTATTTAACATACTGTATTTTTGTAACCTTTTCTAGATTGATCTACATTATTGCGGAATATAATGATGGAGCTAGGGAGACTACAAAGAGTATTGTTTGTATGTCTATATTCATATGGAACATAAAGGCTAAAAAAAATCTGTATTTTTTGTATGAGAATTTAAAACATGTTTTGGTAACACGATTATGAAGGAGCAGATCTTTGGAACGGGAACTGATGATCCATACAATTGAGTAATTTTTCCTGTAAATATGATAGAAAAAAAATTTCCTGACTTTTTGTAAATGAATTTTATATTGTACCAATTGAAGTATTGATAGAACTGTACATATTGTTCATAATTTTATAAATTAATAACTAGTAGCTAAAAATATGCAAAATATTGTGTAAAAATTTTAAAAATTATACTCATTTTTACAAAATTTTATACATACATTTTTATGTAAAATTATGTAATTTTCTACTTATTCTTTAAAATAAAATTATGAATTATTATAATCTATATATAGATTTATAAATATGCAATTTTACGTAAAAAAATAAGTAACTTTTATATTAAAAAATATTATTATTTATATATTTTTATAAATATATAAATTTTATATAAAAAATTATTTAACTTTATATAAAAGTTATAAATTTATATAATTTTATCGATCTTTAAATTTCCTGATGTACAAACTGTTTAATTTTTGTACAACTTTATACATGTAAAAAATGTTCCAAATGGGCTAAATTTGAAAATGAATATTATATAAATTTGTGTTAATTATATATTGGATAAATTTCAATGAAAATTTTTCATAGGGCTTGCATTGTATCGTATAATTACAGCATAAAATAATATACATAAAAATACTAATATATATTATTTTAGTTATATAGTATTATTATTTTGTATACTTTAGTACAATATGTCTTAAATTTTTTTATAAATATCTAAAAATTATCATTGTAGCGATGTAACTAAAATGTCAAAAAAATCAATAATCATTTACATGATGCTTACAGAGATAAATTAAGAGTCTTGTAATTTTTGTTTTTTATCTTTATTTTTAATTGGCATGTTAATTAAATAAAATCCTTTGAAGAAACAGTAATTTTTTTATCAATTTAATCATTAATACTATTGTTTTTAATTCCTTAATACTTTACTTTTTCTCCTTCAATCTTTTATTTTGTTCTTCTATTGCTAACTTTTTCACACTATCGATGATAGTTGGAAAAAGAGACTGTTCACTCTCAATCTTTTTAGTTAAATTAAAAGGATTGAATTCATCTGTACTAAAAGGATCGAAGTCATCTGTTTGTTGATTAGGTACATTATTTTGTTGTATAAGGTCTTCATTATTTTGTTGTATAAGGTCTTCATTATTTTGTTGTATAAGATCTTCATTATTTTGTTGTGTAAGGTCTTCTTTTGTTTGTTCTATTTGCTTCTCTGATAATCTTTTATTTTGTTCTTCTACTGCTAACTTTTTCAAACTATCGATGATAGTTGGAGGAAGAGACTGTTGACCCTCAATCTTTTTAATTAAATTAAAAGGATTGAATTCATCTGTACTAAAAGGATCAAAGTCATCTGTTTGTTGATTAGGTACATTATTTTGTTGTGTAAGGTCTTTATTATTTTGTTGTATAAGGTCTTCATTTGTTTGTTCTATTTGCTTCTCTGATAATCTTTTATTTTGTTCTTCTACTGCTAACTTTTTCACACTATCGATGATAGTTGGAGGAAGAGACTGTTTACCCTCAATCTTTTTAATTAAATTAAAAGGATTGAATTCATCTGTACTAAAAGGATCGAGGTCATCTGTTTGTTGATTAGGTACATTATTTTGTTGTGTAAGGTCTTCATTTGTTTGTTCTATTTGCTTCTCTGGTTTATTATATTGTTTTTCTTTATTAACATGTTTTTCATTACTTTGCTTTTTATTATTATCAATTGCATTAATTAATTTACGAACTTCAGTAACAAGATCGTTAATATCAGTTATTTGTTTTTTAAGTAGATTATTTTGTTGTATAAGCTCTTCTTTTGTAGGTTCTTTTTGTTCCACTAGTTTATTATTTTTGTTTCCTTCATCATCATGTTCTTCGTTATTTTGTTTTTTATTATCATTAGTAAGTACTACCAACTCTTCCAATTTCTTACTGATAAATGGTGGATAATCAAATACAGCTTTATCATTATTAATTGCATTAATTAATTTACGAACTTTTGTAACAGGTACATCATAATAACTAAAATATTTAAATAAAATATATTAATAAAAATATATATACAAAAACTGAGAAATTATAATATAAATAAATTAACATTTACATCCAATCTGGAAACCATTTTTTATCGCTTCTCCAACATGGAAACATATAAAATAATTCAATTTCCATAATAATCTTAAAAAAAAAAAATAAAATAAAATAAATGTTAGTTAACGAAAAGATTTAATATAATTACCAGATATGACTGAAACAAAAAAAAAATTTACCTTTGCTTTTTGAAGTAAAAATTCTTCTTCTTTATTATATTTTTCAATAGCTATATTGAGCAATCCAATAAATAAATTCAAAAGATAAATTACTGTGAAAAATGTAAAGGTAACTAATAAAACTGTCATTGTGTGATGATCACGATAAGTCCATGATGCTAAAGACCCAGAATCACCTATAATTAATTGTATTAGAAATTATTTAGTATTTTTTTTTTTTTTTAAAAAAAAAAAATGGTTTATAAATAAAGTAAATTATTACCGGTAAGGATTTTATACACGGCTAAAAGAGAAGTTGGAAACCAATTAAATAAATTCGTATTTGAATCAGTTTCTTGAATTAATTTTGTTGTATTATTAATAGTTCCATCCGAATTAATAAAATCGTATTTAGTTGCTAGGTTTTGTGGATCATTATCATCATTTTCATTGGTTGATTTTAGAATAATGAAAAATGCTTGAGCATAACCAAGTATAATAAAAAATAAGAGCATCAAGAATGGAAAAACTTTTTTTGCAACACCAATTATTATGGCAAAATAAATTCCAAATGATTTAATTACTCTGAAAAATAATAAAAATTTAAAACTTATTAATATAATAGATATTGCTGTAAGCCAAGAAGGTAGGCTTTTATTAATAAACCATAAAATTGCGGTTATAATTGGTAAAAGATATGACCCTATATCTATTAGTAAAAATTAAATCAGGTTATATATATATATATATATCATATATTTTTCTTAATATAAAGCAATTAAAATAAATATTAGTATTACTTACCAAATAAATTCCATACATCATTAACATAAAGTTTTGTGTTCCATAAAAATTGACGAATTTCAAAAATTAAAAATATTGAACCAAGTACAATGGAAATTATAAAAAGTAATTTAAAATAAGAATCAGGGATAGAATTTTGATCTAATGCAGAAGCTAATGAATAACAAATGTAAAAAATTGTATAAAAGAACCAATTCAAATAATAATAAATCCATCCAAAAGTTTTCCACTTATAATCAACAATTGCGGCAAAATTCCACCAATTATAAAGATGATCACCATCTATATTACAAAAGAGAATAGATTTCGGTTCATATATAAATTTATTCCAAGGATTATCGTTATATTCACAAATACGAGGAAAAGGAACTATAAAACTAACTGTTTGTGTTTCTTCCCGTATCCATAATTCTTTTAAAAATGATAATATAATCTTAAAATAATTATTATCCATATTTGATTCCTTAACGTAAATATTTTTTGAATATGAATAAAGTGATGTATTTTTTGAATTTTTAATTTTATTGCAATAAGGAGATAATATAATAGAAGTACTTAAAATGTATTTGACTATGGAATCAGGGTAATATTCACATAAATTTTTTAAGAATAAACTAATAAAAGTCATGTAAGTTTCGGAATAATCTTGAGTTGATTTGATAATTTTATCAATGGTTTGATAAACAACATCGTGATAATTTTCTTTAAATGCTATATTTAAAATTTCTGTTCCAAATTTTGAAATTGCCATTTCATTATCTATAATACCTGTAGCTAATTGTTTTATCAGTTGATAATCAATTTTGTCACTAATTGCCATTTTCAACATTTCTAATCCAAATCTTGATAATGCTACTGTATCATTTATAAAATCTTCGATTATTTCCTTCGCATCATTACAGTTTAATCTTGATAATGGTATTAAATATTTTGAATCATTAAATTCACTATTATAAACATTTATAAAAAGTGGCTTGTAATATTTATCAATAAAACTTGCATTAAATTTATTTCCATGATCTTTAATGAATTTTTTATAAATACGATCCCATTCATCATTATGCCAAAAATATTGATGTTTAAGCCCAAACTCATTTATTGAATAAATATCAATTCCTCTCATATTAATTAATACCAAATTCTGGTCGTTTAATAGTTCATATGAAAGTATATGAGGAACTTTAATATACTTTATTTCTTTACCAGTTGATTTTCTAAGTGTAATCTCATCATTATAATAATCAATATTCGGTATTACATTATCAGTAACAGAATTAAAATTATTACGAAGATAAAGTTGACAAAGACCTTCATTATTAATTTTAAAGTTATGTTTTAACACAAACTCTTTAGATGATGCAACCTTTTTAATCTCCACTTGTTTGATGATATCGTCAAGCATATTTTGTATAACCTTAAAAGTAAATAAAGTATAGTAAATACTATTCCTATAGATGTTCTTGTTTGTTAATTGTTTCAATTCTAACCCATTTTTAATACAAACGTTACCATTTTTGTCAATGCAAATTTTTTTGTTTGATTTAGTTATCACACTTTTTTTATTAAAATCTTGGGAAATATCAATTTCATAATAAGGTTGATAAGGATCTAAAAGTTTATGTTCGAGTGAGAAATGTTGATTAATGACTAATCTTTCGGAATTATCTTCCAAAGATATAAATTCAACTGGAGAATTCTCTTCACCATCTACGAAAATAAATTATAATTAGAATATATAAAAATTAAAAAATATTAAAATAATATAGTATATGTATTAATACTAACAATTATATTTTAAAATCAACATTCCATTTTCCATTGAAAATATGTAAGTATAATCATCAGCTATCGCAAATAACGTTTGATTTTTATTCATTATTATTGGTTTACGATAAAAAGAAGCCCCATCTGAGTTACATAGAAAAACATCAAGTATGAATCCCTCTGAAATGTATTGTCTTTCAAAAGTCATATTCGATAAATCAATTTGAATTATTAATGTTTTATGATCATTAACAATTAGAAATAACTTTTCTTGACATATAGAACTACGTAAGGTAGTATATTGACCACGTAAACTTTTGGGAATTTTTAGATCATAAATTTGAGAACATTTCCAAGAACCTTTATTTTTTGGTTTATTTTCTAAACAGTACTTGTAAATTTTTTTATTAATTAGCGATACTTGAATTAAATCTCCATTAGGAAGAAATCCAATAGTGTCACGTCCATCATGTCCATTATCTGAATCTACACAATTAACAGTATTTTCTAGTTCAAGAAATCCGGTATCACCAGTACGATCATTATTAAAATCAATAAGCCCTAAAAATTGCAACATAAATTATTATTAATTAAATCATAAAATTAATTTACTTATTTTTTGAATCAAAAATAAAATACTTACAATGTTTACGATATAAATAAAGTGACATGATTTTTTTACTTAATAGTACAAAATCGTCTAAATATGGTAAGAGATTGTTGAGTGGGACAAGTTTAACATAAACATCAGGTTGCAGTTCATTCAGTTTATTCTTTTCATCAATGTTAATTGGCCATCCAAGGAATGAATCATGGTCATAACTATAAGTAACAACATAATCATCATTTGAACTAGTATCATTCATATATTGAGGAACGAAAATACGGTAAATTGATTTCTTGTGGTATTCAATTTCATTCCAAAGATCATCTTTCTCCGGAATTTCTTTTAAAATACGGTAAATTGATTTCTCGTGGTTTTCAATTTCATCCTCAAGTTCTTGCATATTACCCTTAAGTTCTCTTATATCATCCTTATCATCTAAAATTTCTATTGATGTAGTATCATTATTCTGAGTTTCAATTTTTTCGCTACTCATATTACGAGAATAAATTTTTATTTATAAAAATTTACGATTTTTTTTTTTTTTTTTTTTTGTTGCGCCCTTTATAAAAAAAAAAATGACGAATTTAAATATTACCATTTATATCAAGCATAATAAAATATGCATTTAACGATAAAAGAACTTATTTTTTGGACAAAAACAGTAAAATTAATAAAGTTTGTACTTGATATGCATAATGCAGATGTATATGTTCAACAATAAAAAAATTTTGTGCAGGGTTTAAAATCAAGCATTATTTATGTAACCAATTTATCATGTAAAAATTCACACGTTATCTTCAATTTATACGTGTAAAATTTTTTATACCGAGTTGAAAAATTAGATTTAAGTTTTACAGCTCAGTTTCAAATTTTGTAAATACCAATTCTAGTGCAAATATTAATTCAGAAGAAGTTCAATCGTTCTATAAAAAAAGAAAAATATGCAACAGAATGAGATTATCAGGAAAATGATAGTAATACTTTTAAAAAGTGGGCACAACCGATAGCTGCATGCATACGCCAACAAACAATGAAACGTCTCACTAGTTCAATGGCATAAAAGGTTAAATATAGAGATCGTCATGGTAACATTTATGGTTATAAACTTCTTATATAAGTAACTCTCTAAATAATGAAAATCTAATTTTGATACGTTCAATCAAATAGAATAATATCAGTCATTTGAAACATTCAAAATGTGTACATGAGTTACTTCCCAACTTGAACGATGAAAGCATATGATATGTTAGAATTAGAGAAAAATTGGGTACACACAATTTAGAAGAAAAAATTCATTTCCATTTTTCATATTTTCTAAGTATGATCTAAAGATGAATAATTAAATTTTAATAATACTTTGTAATCTGCTGTATTCTTTCAATACATGTTTATCTATTTCATGAGAAAGCAATAGAATTATACAAGAAGTCATATTATTTTAGAAATCAAATAGATTAAATAATAGGGTTTTGCTTTTTAACGCACCTGCGTTATGTCGTACCCCTATAATATGTTACAAATAAAAGTAAAAAATGACATTCTAAATCCTTTTTGATATATTAAGAAAATTGTAGAGCAGTCAAAAATAGTCGTAGTATAAGGTTTCTTATAGTACATTAAGTGCATATGCAAAATAAAGATTAAAAATTGATTTACATTATATGACAAAATGAAGATCATTAGAGTCTGTTGGCTTTTTTTTTTTTTCAGAAAATTCCTTTTAACTAGAAGAATTATAAAATTATTTGATGTAATGTTATTTAAAAAAAAAACTATAAAAAAATTGTAAATCTATATATTATACACTGGCCTACAAAAAGTATTCGGATTTTCATCACGTGATTTTGCGCATCTGTGTTACAATCGGCGATTTCTCCCTATCGCACATATAAATAAAGGAGATAACAAAATATTTATTTTTCACTCCTCTTCTAGTTTTAAATGCGTGGAAAAGAAGTTTCAAAGACCCACTGGGAACGAATTATTGGCGCATATCTTAGTGGTATCAGGCAAAGAGTTATTTCTACTCAGTTTGGTATTCCGACCAGTACTGTAAATGATATTATAAAAAAGTATAAAGAAACAGGTTCTACAGAACCTAAGAAACGTTCTGGAAGACCAAAAGTTCTCACTGAACGTGATACCCGAGCTTTAAAATGTATCATCTGAACTGACCGGTTTTCTCCTCTAGGTGATGTGACAAACAGGCTAAATACCAGTCTTGACGCAACTTTACACCATAATACAGTCAGAAGTTACCTTCATAGTGAAGGTCTTGGAAGTTATACTGTCCAAAAAAAACTTCATTTGACTGCAAAACATCGAACTGACCGTTTGAGATGGTGTAAAGAAAAAAAAATTGGATAGAGGAGTGGAAACAAGTGGTATGGTCAGATGAGTCAAGATTTGCTCTTTTTCAATCAGATGGTCGAGCAAGAGTATGGAGAAGTCCTGGAGAAACATACAATAAAGATTGTATTCAACCTACAGTTAAGTTTGGGGGAGGATCAGTAATGTTTTGGAGGTGTTTTGGTTGGCATGGAGTTGGTCCTTTGGTTGTAGTGGAGGGAAATATGGATTCTGATGAATACGTTAATATTCTGGCTAACCATTTTATCCCATGGGTTGACAATTACCTAACTCCATTTTTCAACAAGATGGAGCATTTTGTCATACTTCAACTTACAGTGTTTGGTGGATGAGAACGCATAGTATTCCGATTTTAGACTGGGTGGCACAGAGCCCTGATCTAAACCCGATCGAAAACCTGTGGAACTATTTGGATTATCAGGTTCGTAAAAGAAAGCCTTTGTTTAAGTCTAAACAGAAGTTAATTGGGCAGTACAAGAGGAATGGCGAAAAATCACTATTGAAACATGCCATAACCTAATTTTAAGTATGCCTAATCGGGTTAAAGCAGTAATTAAGGCCAAAGGTGGCCATATTAAATATTAATTTTTTAGCTATAATATTTTTCGTATAATAACTTTATATTTTATATTTTAATATAATAAAATTTATTTGTCAATTAATAAGTACGAAAAAATTTTTTATATGTACATAAAATTATAAATTTTACATATAAATTTTATAAATAAAAAAAAAATCTGAATACTTTTTGTAGGCCAGTGTATAATAATTTTAAATATATTCATTAAAAGAATAAATTAATTTATTCTAAAGAATATTGAATTTTTTTGTTTTAATTAATAATTTAAGCTATTTAATTATTAATTTTACATTTTTTTTTATAAAATCATAATATAATTTTATGAAAATTTTGATTTTTTAAAAATATTAAAAGGTGATAAAAGAAACTGACCAGATTTTTTTGCTTAAAATATTATATAATTAAAAAAAACTAATTATTAAAATTTATATTTTTAATAGATCATATTATATAGTATTACGATCTGGATGATTAATGGATGAACAAATTGTTCAAATATTTCTCATCTATTTTTGAAAAACAATGCCTACATTTTCTAAATTATGTATTGGCTATTAAGGTTTACATCTAACATTATAGGACGACCCAAAAAAATGAATTATTCTATTGACTAAATATTAAAAATGAAATATAATTCAGACAGATTAAATTTTATTATCTATACAGATGAATATTTCTGATTTTTGATGAATTTTCTAATTTATCTCTTTTTTTTTATTTCTGAAGGAGATATTTAAGTTTATATTAAAATATACTTACAAAATATCTCAAAAAAAATTATTCCTTTATTTGATTGATTGCGCATATAATTATTAAAATGTGACGATCTGTTAATCATCCAGATTGTAACTCTAATATTATATATTATTTATATTTTAAATTTTTTGTTTTAATTGGATTTAAATTGTTTTAAAATTCAAATAATTAATAATTTAAATAATACATAGTCAGTTACTTTTGTAAGTCACTGTAAAATAAAATGGAAACTTATAAAAAATGTTATAGTAGAAAAGTTTGGCAATACAAAAATAAAATATTTTTTGTTTTACTTAATAACTTTATTTTACAGTCAAATTTCAATATACCAAACCCATAGTTTGAGGGTGAAAGTTTAGTATATAGTAGAATTTAGTAAAGAAAAATTTTTTTATATACCAAACCCTTAAGTTTTTTCAGAAAAAGTTCAGTATATAAGAAAATTATGTGATTAATATTCCAATTTCAGCCAGAATAACACTGGTCGAATGACAACATATCAGAGAAAATTCAGGTACCCGATTCTTCACTAATTCTTCACAGATATATATATTATACAATCCCGATACTTATTCCCGATTGGGCTCAGGTTCTTGTTGCATTTCTGGATACAACCGGGCATAAATACTTCATAAGTATTGGATTTCTATTGGTGAAGAATCGGGTTTCTGTTATTTTACAAATAAACGCCCAATATTTACCAAATTAATAACTGAATCTTTTGAAGTTTTAATAAACTATAAGGTGCAAATCGGATAAATATTATGTTAATATCGGATTTCTGATATTTTACTTATATTTATATAATATTTAAGTATTTATTTGGGTTATCATAAAGTATCGTTAAACGATACAATACACGCCGGGCAGTAATTGAAATCACGATATTTCAAATTGTTTTAATCAATTTATTACTATTCGTTGCAATATATTATATAGCAATATACTAATCAATTTTACAGTAATACATTTGCTTGCTATATTTAATCGTTGTTATATAGAAATAAACTACAAATCATTCTTGCGTAATAAAAATATAAACTACAAATTATTATTAATATACGTGCTCTTTTAAATCTAACATTGCATTAATGCATTAATTAAACCTGTTCATCAAGTTCGTTAGGTTCATCATTAATATTATCGATATTATCGATCTCATCTTGTGGTTGTACGTCGGATCCGTACGACTGTGATATCGACCAATCAGGGGCACCTTCA